TCTGATGTAAGAAAAACGTGTTTATAAAACTAACTTATTAAGAAAAAAAAAAAGAAAAATGTCTCTTCATTCTTGTGTTTAATTCACTTTTCGTGATTAGAAATTTTAACAAATTTCAAAAGTGATTTTAAAACTGCCTTCTCAAGGCTGCTTCAATTTGTGTGTTATTTAAATCAAGTTATTTACTTAATTTTACAACTCTCATTATCTTAGGATATAGAATTATTGTGTTGAAAGTAATATCCTATCATCATCTTAATTATAAGGGTTATCTGCACTAACCGTCTCTAATTTAGCAGTGAAAGACTAGAGGGAAGGCAGCTAGTCCTCACCACCCATCGCCAAGTCTTGGGCTACTCTTTTACCAATGAATAGTGGGACTGACCGTCACATTATAATGCCCCCATGGCTGAAAGGGCAAGCATGTTTGGTGGGACGGGGATTAAAAACCACAACCCTCAAACTGCGAGTCAATCACCCTAACCACCTGGGCATGCTGGGCCTAATTATAGATGCTACCATAACAGTAGAAATTATTCAGCACATAATAAAAATATTTTTTTATGTTTTTCAAATAAACTAACATTACTGATTTGATGGGTTAGTTTAAATGAAGGTTAAAATTCAATGCAGATGACAATGGATTTGTTTAATAGAAAGAGAAATTTGCATGTTTAAATACAACTTGTATCCTTTCACATATTTTTAAATTTTGAAGAGAATATGTCAAGAGTAGCTAAGTAAGGTGAATTATAATGGTGCAATGACAGTGACTCACTAATTACTTTAACAAATCGGTATTTATAAAACAAATTCTCTAGTTATATATTTTTGGGGGCCCTAACAAACCTAAGTAATATAAAAAGTTTCTTAAATTTTTATCAATTGCACATCTATCCAAGTAGCAAATTTGCAAGAGTCCAATATTTTATTTTCTTATGTCCTTCGAAACACAATGAGAACTTTTCCAAACATAACATTCTCAGGTAAACATGTGACTCTTCATGTTTGTAAGTAATCACACTCTGAAACAAACAAATAGTTTAAAAACAGAACAATGAAAGTATCTCAATGTTACACTGAAGGGTAAAAAAAAAAAAAAATTAAGAAAAACTATTTTTTGCCCAAAAGAAAACATTAACAGAGAACATTTGTTTCTCAAGTAATGGATAACATACAAACTTAAAATTACTGAAAAATAGTAGCAATCTTCTGGATAGCAGCTGCTAGTGAAAAATAAATTAAGAATGCACATTTATAAGCCTTTATATATTGTATAAAAATAACACATAATAAAAACACGTTAAAAAAAATATTTAACTGCATGCCATGATTAAAACCTTACATAAATAAAAATGAAAACATAAATATTTATTATGACTGAAAAATGATTTAAATGCTTTTTGTCACAGAAATAGAAACATTTTACTTCTACCTCTGATGCTTTGTTTTTTTATATTCTACAATAAACTAATCTTTTTTTATCCATTTCTTAAAATGAAACATTTGTATCAATCACTAAAAGTTTCTTTGGTCTTCTTTCTAATGAAATGGCACATCTGCAAGTAGTTACAATCCTTTACATATCTAAACCTCCCATACCACCCATTCCTCCCATGGGCCCACCCTTTTCTACCTTCGGGTGCTCGACTACTACAGTTTCAACTGTTGTGAGAAGGGATGCAACTCCTGCAGCATCAAGAAGTGCTGTTTTTACAACCTGATAAATGTAAAAAAAACAACATTTATCACTGTTCACTTCAAATCAAACAGAACAGTTAACATACAGGTAAATATATACAGGTAACATAAATAAAATCCAGCACCATAAAAAATTACTTTCCAGTGTAACACATTTTTTTTATAAAATATTGGCTCATAAAAATGTTTTAATACAATGAAAAATTATTAGAAAATGAAGGATAATATTTTCCTTAGTAAAATAATAGCAAAAACATGGTTATGTACATTTTATGAGAGTGTTACACCCTTTTCAAAAACATGTCCAACAAATAATATATCAAAAATTTTAAAAAGAATTTGCCTATCTATCTATTTGTAACAATGCCCAACCATGATTAAATTGCATCCTCTTTCTTACACATACAGAATTAAAAATATATTTATAAGTGGTTCAGTTTTCTAATATTTTTAAATAGAAGCTTTCATTTGAGTGTAAATGCCACAGTAGTTAAATTTCAAAGTAACTAAAAACAATGGCGCTTTTTTAGCATGAATCATTTTAGCCTCAAAATACATTAATGTGATAGTTCATTTAATGGATTAGTCCACTTTTAAATACAATCTTAGTTTCAGGCATCCACTTGCATCTTTAAATCTTATTATTTGATGTGTTATTATTAGTCATAAATGAGGAATGAGTTGGCAAGTATAAGCTTTCAAATGCTACAAAAGAAAAGTTTTAAAGTTGTTGTTTGCAGATTTTCATGCAAAACTGTTATTCTTTTCACACACTTATGGTCCCATATTGCAGATCATGAATGTTTTTGTGGCAACAGAGGTGTACACCATGGATTCACAAACCAACACACTAGTCACTAAGCTTTGCTTAAGGTAAATATAACATGAGCCTAGACAGATTTAATCAGTGCTTCATGATTCAAAAAATAAACAACACTGATGATTTACTACTACCATTGTGTAAAAATTTACTTTTTCCTAAAAGGTATTTTTCTCCTGGAAACTGGAAATACCTAGGTTCTTTAAGTTCACATTATGGAAAAATAAAAAAAACCTGAACTTTACCTTTGTGGGATCAATGATTCCTGCTTCTATCATGTTGACATATCTGTTATTGAGAGCATCATACCCCACTTCTAGGTCTGAATCTATAACCTTCTGAACTACTACTGAAGCATCAACTCCAGCATTCTCTACAATCTGCTTGCAAGGCATCTTTAAGGTTTTCTTGACAATATCAATGCCTGTAAACAATAAATATACCTAAGATAAAATACATGTTAGTTTCATATCTTATCATTATCGTCACAAATAAGCAACAAGAAATTTGTATTAGTAATAAGTAACATCAAGCCTGTGAGTAGCTACCACCTCGGTCAGATATAAAATACCTTTTAAATATAAGAATTTGAAATTAAATAAAAACAAAACTTATACTAAAAAATTAATTTCTAGGTTTCTTGTCAAGTTTGTAATACAATATCAACCAACCATGTTTTGCAACAAAGAATACTGATATTTTTATGGCCATGGTGTAACAGACTCTCAAGTACAAATCAGAAAGAAAGAATGAAGAAGAAGAAGAAGAGAAAAAAACAACAAAAAAACTAGTGATTTTTTTCAATGCCCTTGAAATCAACATGATTTATTACTTCAAAAAGTTTGATAGGTTAAAAGCAACGTAGCAGTGTTATCGCTCAAATTGCCTTGCAATCAACCTTAGGAGTTACCAGATCTTCTATTTGCAACAAAGAAAAATGGATTAAAAATTTCCAAGCTCATGCATATACAATACTTTTTACTTTTACATCCATTACCAAGGTATCATGAACAAAAAATTTATTGAAGTTTCTCAGAAACCTTTCCCACAATTCTGATGAAAACATTGAGAGGAACTGTATAAAATGTTAACATTTCAGAATTTTGAAGTAAAAAGGAAAAAAACAAAATATGAGACTTATTAAAAAAAAGAATATGATTTATGAAAACAGGAAAAGTTTATAAAAGTGAACAAGGTTTACTTCAGAAAACTGATACTTTAATTCAAATGATTGTAAACTTATTTTTTTATGAATAACTACAAAACAACACAATTGAAAAGCAAAACTAGTGAAATTTTTTATGTTCTTGAAATTAACATTACTTATCACTTCATAAATTTGTTTACTTATCTTCAGCAAACAAACCAAAAAAAAAGGCCCAGAATTATTCGAAGTATTAAAAACATCTTTCTTCATATACAATATATCTCTATGCCTTAAATTAAATTTACAGATTTGTTTTAAATTCCACATCTGTGTTAATCTACTTCAAAGGAATGGTGCAATGAAGAACACTCTTTGTTGTTTTAGGTGTTTAATAATCCTAAAGAGCAATATCACAAATTAGCAGCCATCTTTCTTATTAATGCACATTGGAAAACAAATATTTTACTTAACAAATATCTAGATTTGTTAAATAAAATTTCTAAGCTGAAATTCCACAATATTTGCTTATTCTTGTCAATACAAAAAAAACAAGGGCTTAAAGAAATTTATCACACAGAACATGTCCAAAGCACAGTTTGTTTACTATACACTTCTTTAGTCTTTTCTATTTTTTTAAATATACAAAAAGTAACAACACCAGTACACAATTTTCTACTCTTAACAGAACAGTTATTATTGTAGCTTATATATATACACACACACATACACCAAAAATCTCCCAATTCTGAAAAATTAGAAATCTAAAAGTTGACGTGACTTGTGTGAATGTGTACGAATAAAAAAACATGCAGTGACAAGTTAGGTTTTGTTTCCACAACTTTGTGTATGCTAAACCTTTTCATAGGTAGCCATACTGGTTTACACTGTAGTATCAATCATGTGGACTATCTTAATTGATTAAATTAAATCTGAGTTTTCAGGACATGTGCCAACAGCAGTAGAAAAAAAAAATAGCAAAACCTTGTTTATCTAATCTCTGTTCTATAATACAACTACCTGTCATTTCAGGTCACTTGGGGATCTTCCAATACTTTCTGTGCATATTTGCTATACAGTCAAAGATCTTTTGTCATCAGTATTGCTTTATTTAGAACCTTGTTTTATACTTCAAACTTCTATTACAATTAAGATTTCAACTACAGTTAGAACCCCAACATCAGTATAATATGTTTTATTGCTATGAATAATTAATGGCTTGTACCAATACAGCATCTTATTTTGTTCTTAAGTGTAAAGTAACAAAAAACATTCTCGTTAACAACAACAACAGAAAAAAAAAAAAAACACTGACAAAAAAGTACAAAATATATAGGAACATCCAACATGACATAAAACAGCCCTGAAGTCAGAATATTAATAGAGCTTCAACTGCAGTGGGATTGAATATAATTCATTTTGTAGCGTTAAAACAATGTAAGAAGTCAGTGTAATATTTACAGAAGGTGGACAAAAATCATATAGTTAGTATTTTATAATGGTTGTACAGTTAAAACACTTCATAGAAATTATACAGAATTTATTCTCCTCATCACTATTTGCATACCAATAAATGTGATTTCTTTGATCCAGAATACCTGTTTGTTGGTCATTGTTATCTCCCTTCAGCTGGTCTAAGACAGGAATACATCGTATAAGTGCTGTACCACCACCAGTTACAATTCCTTCTTCAACAGCTGCCCTTGTTGCATTCAATGCATCATTAACACGATCTTTCTTTTCGTTTACTTCTACCTCACTTGAACCACCAACCTAAAAGAGAAAATTTCTTCACAAAGTTGTCAGTCTGACTAATCTGTGATGCACACCATACATTAACATTCAAACTGGACTTATATTTTTAGAATAATTACTACGAACAATGTATTTGAGTTAAATGCAAGTTTGAGTTTTTTTATCGCTAAGGTTTCTTTCATGTGAACATCCTTTGTGTAGTGAAATTACTTTCATTAACTACACCATCACAGTCTTGATTCAGATGCTAATAGGTGCTTAAAGAATTACTAACATCTCAAGCTCAGCATTGATAATTCTTCCATTTTAAAATATTAACTATTTTCTGTGAGAACTTCTGGCTATGGAGATATAAAAATACATTTAATTAGAGAGAACAGTGATCTATCTTTCCCACCATAAAATAAATTTCACAAGGAGAAATTGAAATGACAATCTTCCTTTGTTGTGTCACACACACAAGTAAAGCAAAATTATTCAAAATACGATCAAAATAAAGCACTTACAGAAACAATGATTTATCCTTTATAAAGAAATATATGTAGCATAATACTCATCGTATCACTTCTAGCCAAAATGTATCATTTGTATAAGCTCATATTCATGTGTATATAATAATGCAGCTAAAGTTTTGTGACACCCATAATAAAAATTTACAAGTGTAAACTCTTGGTTGATGTTCCAAAAATATAGTCTTTTGGGATATTTGTTTGCTTAAAGTACTGAGCAAGTGTTCTTACTCTTACAGCTTTTGTAGAGCTTTTTAAATTTCTCATATAAATGTTTCATTTAGATAAGTCATAAAATACACACACCTTTTTCTTAGACAACTTACCATTAAAAATTACAATCAAATTTTATTTTGCATATTAATGTAAAATGGAAGTACTTCATAAATTTGCACTGAGTTAAACTCACCTTTAACAGTGCTACACCACTAGCTAATCTTGCTAGTCGTTCACTCAGTTTCTCTTTCTCATAATCAGAGTTAGACATGTCAATTTCATCTTTAATTTGGGCAATTCTACGATCTACATCCTCCTTTCTGCCCTTTCCCTAAAGAAATTACAAAGTTAAATTACTGAATGAGCCATTTTAATGCACTGTTTTCACAATATAACAATGTATCTTCCTTTTTTCCTTTCACTACAAAAATTATAGTTATATTACTGGTTGGGTTTGTTTGGAATTTTGCACAAAGCTACAAGAGGGCTATCTGCGCTCGCTGTCTAATTCAGCAGTGATAGACTAGAAGGAATGTAGCTAGTCAACACTACCCACTGCTAATGTTAGGGCTACTATTTTACTAAAGAATAGTGGGATCGACCATCACATTATAAAGCCCCTATGGCTGAAAAGACGAGCATGTTTGGTTATGGGAATTCGAACCCGCAACCCTAAGATTGCAAGTCAAGTGCCTTAACCACCAGGCCATTTCATATTACTGAACAAACCATAACAAAAGCTATTTTCCCAATACAAAATATATGTTTATTTTAATAACCTTCAAAATCTTTCTGACATAGAGGTTTTTCTTCCTACATAATAGTAATTTTTCATACAAAGGAATCTGTATGCAATGAGAATAGAGTGGAATGAAAACTAAAACTTTTTAAATAAAAATGTAAAGACAATTTCATTTATTGGTACCTGTATTATTGATACACTTTTCCCAACTTTCTGGAACTTTGTTCTTTAATCTTGGAAACTGCCTGAACCTGGTTAAGTTTGGAATAGCAAGTCACAGAAATAGGTTTGACCTCTGTCATCCTATCCTTAAAGGACAGCAAAATCTAGCTGAAATGAAGCAATTTGAAGGCTTTTGTGTTACATAAATCTACCTAGTTAGGGGCCAATCCCATTTTATTAGCAACAGTCACTCAATAATACAATGTGATGAAGTTTTCAACACTTAAAAGAGTATAAACAAAAAAACAAACACTGACACCCAACATATGGTTAATTATTTTTCATATACCTAAGAAACTTTCTAATAATGATAAGGATCACCTGAAAATTGTAGGAGGAGGTGATGGCATAAAAATGGCTAAATATGCAGTTAAAAATGTTCAAGTCAAAAGGAGAGTGCACTTTGATTAAAATGAGGAAATAATTCTGTCTGTTTATATATACAAACTGAAGTTAAAAACCGAAAATGAATTCTCTATGAATTATTTGTTCAAAGTTACTAAGCTGAACATCTTATGATGGAAAAAATTTACAAAAAATAGCCACAAGTTCTATAAAAAACTACCACAGTCCAGAAGAGAGAATTAACCAATGAAGATCAGTGATATTCATATATGTCAAAAACACAGTCCATTTCTTTTACTTTTTATCATTCTTTACTCTTATTTCAACTATTTGTACAATTCCCCAGGATATTTATGTAGTCATATTTTAATTTTGTATAACCTTCCTAGAAACTTTATTATTTCAAATTAAAAACAGACAGAAAGAATTATTATACACACCAGCATATGATAAAACATCAATGAAAAATGGAGAAATACAATTACTCTTCCCAAGACGAATAGGAAAATCGTTAATATCTTGGATGAAATAAATAGAAGATTATCATAAAGACACTAGTGTTAAAATTTATATTTTTCAGTTGCTTGATGTTAATATCTTGTATGGACTAAATAGAAGATTATCATAAAGACACTGGTTTTAAAAGTTATATTTTTCAGTCGCTTGACAGTTTTTAGTTAACACTATTATTTTTTTTAACTTTTGTATATGGGCAAGCTACAAGTTTTCGAAATCAATCCATTCTTCTTAAACAAATATTATGTATTATCTATTTTAACCAGTCACATGTGCACAGGCTAATTATTTCGCTGACAAACAAAGTGGATATTAAAAAAAAAAACAATACTAAAACATAGCATATTTTCATTAAATGTGCTTATGTCTATGTTCAACAACCTTTTTTTAATAAAAAAAGAAACACTGCAGGAACAAATATGTAAGAATAGTTTATTATCCATTTTCTTTAGCAATACTATAAAACACAGTAAACCCATGTAACACATTGCTATGATTTTATTTAGTTCCATGATTCCCATTATTTATGTACTATGATACCCTTTTCTTAATGTTCTTGTTGCATTTACATTGTGTGTGTATATGAAATCTGAACCCAATTACTGTACTTCTTTACACTTTCCAAACTCTCAGATCTTTTGACTGATAATCATGTTACATAGTATAAAAGCTTTTCTTGTTAAACAACAGCATGGTGGTGGCAATTTCTGTACATATGATGGCCTAAATTATTTACCAAGGTAGCAATTAAAGCACACCACCAGTACCTGGTGTTCCTCTTTGTAAGAATTATTTTATCTTGTTTTGTATCAATTAAATCATTAAAATTTCAGTTCAAACAAGCTGGGTTACGTTGGTAAGGGTGGAAAAAAGGAAGCTTATGTTTCACTGTAGATGTTTCATCATATTCCTCTTAATCATTCCATTATAGATACATTCTTTTTTTGCATCACTTATATTTAGTTGTTAGAATTTGGTGATCAGTTTGTTAAAACAAAACAACTCAAAAAACAAATTATGGCATAAGCTGGCCAAGCAAGAGGCTTATTAGGCTTAATTAAAATAAATTAGTTTTCTCTCCAGAAAAATCCTAATGTTAAGAATATGGACACTATAGTCTGAAAAATGCAGAGGCATTAAAAACAATATTTGGTTCCTAAAAAAAGTTACACAAACATTTGACAAAAATAATATTCTGTGCACACTCCAACTGTTAAGTAATGGTTCTCTGACTGATTATCATATATATATTGCATAAACATAGCATGTAATGTACCTTCAGAAAAAGAGTGTCATCTTTGGTAATTGTGACATCACCAACTTCTCCCAAATCTTCTAGCTTAACATCTTCAAGTTTGGTAAGACTAGCATCATCACCAAAAACGAGACCACCAGTGGCTACAGCCATATCATGAACTGTGTTCTTTCTGTTATCCCCAAACCCTGGTGCTTTCACTGCTGCTACCTGGAGACCAACTTTCAACCTAAAATAACCATGAACAAGTTTATAGTTTCTTATTTTAATTATGATAAAGTTAAATAAATAAATTCTCATGATTAATTTATGGAACTCACAAAAGTGTTTTTAAAGTAAAGTAAGTGACAACCAGCAAATGAACTCTGAATAACTGATGTTTAATGAGAATTTTTAACTAAAGAACACAAAATTGGTTTTATAAACCATTATTTTCATTTATTTTGGAAATTCAGAACTATTACTAACTTTTAATATTATACACAGCTGCTGGAAAAGCCCTAACCCCAAATCAATAGATTTTGTATGTAGTAAAATTAAATTTTTCAGTGGAAATCTCATAATCAAAAACAATTAAAATAGCACAGAAAATTATTAAATCATATTATTTATTATTTTCAGAGTAAATTTTTATTCAAAGTAAATGCTAAACACATTGTTACTCAAACTTTTGATTGTCTATGCTAGGCCACAAGATAGGCAACATAGTTAAAATCTCATACTCATTTTTAAGTATAGTTTCTCATATTCTTCCTCAATCAACTAAAGTCATTATCAGATAGATACACATGTCTGGTCCATAAATCTTTTGCCTTGTTAAAATACCACACACATTAAATATCTTAAAGTCATACAATAAAAAAATGCTTTAATGACTCTTAGATGGAATATTCTATTATAGGGTTTTACTGGACCAGGTATTTTGAAAAGAAGATGACCCTAAGTAATCACTGGCAGATACTCCTCAAATTAAGTAAACAGTGAAAGAGTAATAAGGAGTTCAGAAGTATAAAAATATTTTTCCTTTTAATGAAAATTTTACTGTGAGAATCAAAATGTACAGAAAGAGAAAGTTAACCAGGTTAAATGTTAAATTGCACAAGTATTCCATAATCTGAATGAATAAAATAATTCCCAAGTGTTGAAACATTAAAACACAGGTTTCTAACACAAATCTAGTAGTGTTTAAGGAGTGATTTTAAGAGCTAAACAATGCTTTCTTTTTCTATTATACCTACTTACAAAACAAAAGTATTATATATATAAACATATGACTGACTTTACCTATCACTCTTCAAGCTACACATTTTACAAGTACCCAAAACAAGAAAAAACAAATTAAAAACCTGTTTAACACCAAAGTGCTCAAAGCTTCTCCATCAACATCTTCAGCAATGATCACTAAAGCACGTCTCTGTGCATTTGCAAGCTCTAGTGCTGGAATGATAGACTGGATACTTGAAATTTTTTTTTCAGTGAATAACACTAAAGCGTCTTGAAACGTCACTTTGGCTCCTGCAAAGAGATGTAAACACTAAAACTTATTACTATTGTCTAACTACTGTAACACACACAAAAACAAGTTTTAAGTTATAAACTTGGTAAATAGGATTTACAAAAGTATATATAGTCACCTTACAACTAACAGAAAATAGTAGGTAGGAAAATAATTTATATTACCACTCTCAAAAAATATTTTTTTCTTACTTCATAATTTTAACATAGATTTCTTACATAGTATTAAAACAATTTTTACACCTATTTAAAAATGTTGAAACAAAAGATATTCATCATGTGTATCAATTTAACTGGAAAATCTCTTGTTTATGGTTTTCTTTTAAAGGAATATCTACAGCCTAAACTCTACAACTGTTATAGAAACTTGGAAACGATTTGTTCCTGCTTCTACATAACACAGCCACTGAAGTAGCGATGAGATAAAAATTTATATAAAATGGACATACATAACACAAGCTACAATTAACACAATATTATATGTCTTTTCCTCTGAATGACATCATCAAATAATATGAATTACGTATGGCATGACATGATTTTATATAATATCACCTAATAAATACGTTGACCTAATTACAGATAAGGAGATTCAAAGATTAAAATAATCACATAACTAAAACCAAGCACATGTGGTACAAAAATAACACTCATGTGCACAAGAGAGTGAATAATTGTATTTACAATGTAACAATAAACTAACAAAAACCAAGTTTAAAAAAATTAATACAAATCTTAACTGATATATTCTGGAGCAAATGGTGTAGTGTCAATTTTCCTGTCTTACAGTTAAGTAAAAATGCAACTCCATCATCAACATACCTTTAGCTGTATTAATAAAATATGGTGAGATATAGCCTCTGTCAAACTTCATGCCTTCAATGACTTCCAGTTCATCATATAATGTTTTTCCATCCTTAAAGAGTTAAAAATACTAATCAGACTACATCCAGAGAATTTTTATGAACTTTTATAAAAAGACCTAGATATTTGACACTAAATATCAAGATATACTAAACTGGGTTAAATTCAAATGCAACAAGCAATATACACATAAACTGACTAAACATGTATGATATGCAAAAAAGTTTAAACACACTTCTTACTTTGAAAGGCTTATTTAAAGAAAAAAAGTTTAATCTTTTTTTTAACAGGCCCTTCAGGAGCCAGTGGGGAACATTTTTGTTGAAAAAAACAACAAAAAACAACCCAATCCGGTTTTTCTTAATTTGAACTGAAATTTTTTGGACATTTTTATTAGCTAAAAAGAAGCATTTCCCACACTCTTTTAGCATTGGGCTGTGAAAAGTGATTTGAAGTGGTAAGGTGACTGAAATCCATCAGTGTATCACAAGCTTAACAGCCAAGCATAAGAAGCATGGAAGTCTCCAAATGACATGCAGAGGTATTCAGGAATCATTTAGAACCATCTTGGTAAATACTGTGCAGCAAAACAAGTACAATATTATGCTTGTAGCTGTTTTCAAAGTGTTCCTGTCTGTCACCCTAACCCTGACTATCATGATGGTTCAACCTTTGCAGGTGAAATTGTTTGTATCTCAATTGAAAGCTAAGCATGAAAAGGTGATAGAAGAAGCATAAAAGGTTGGCAATTGCTTAATTAATGATGCTGAAAATGTTGTTTTATTAATATGTACTGAATTTACTCCCAGCAGGTAAACCTTAGTACCAGCTAGTATTGAGACCTGAGGATGCTATATTTCACTTAAAAATTTATCAATTAACAAACAAAAACTTGTCTCGAAAAGATATGTCCAAAACCATCCTCTTTGGGAGTTTCCTGATTGAACTTACTTTTCATATTCAACAAATTGTAGTATAAAGACCCCTTGGCTTCTGAGGGACGTGGTAATATTTTAAAGAATTATATATCTGTTTTTGTAACTAACAGTTTGATTTGATGTTTTTTTTCTTATCATATAATGAGCAAATCACACCTAGTTTTAATTTTGAGTGCAGCAATGTCCATAGATAATTCTAATTACCTAAGTGCTTGATTAAAGAATGTAAAGTTAAAACAAATTAATAACTATGAAACTCCAATGCATTCAGTTTGGAAATTTACTTTTGCAGTTTTCACTCCACAGAACACAAATCTAAACATATTTGTTTCTTTTTACTTAGCTATATTTGATAATTCAAGGTTAATTTTTTTATATATGTTAAAATAGTAAAACTAAATTTTATAGGATAGAAACTGTAATACATACAAGTTCAATTTACTTCTAACCACTTAGAAAATATATTAAGTTTGTTTAACTGTCTTACAGTCTGAATATTAACCATATGTGCAAAGGTGAAGGTCAAAGTGTGCATGCCACAACCTTGTACAGAATGCTATCCAACATGGTATTATGAATTTAATGTCAGAGTTATCAACTTCATTTTACTGTAAATTGCTGATTGAGCAATAGCTTGTGGTAGAAGTGAGAGTAAATACCAGATACAATATACAGGGATACTGAAAAAAAAAGTAGATATGCATTTCAGGAGTTCTAGAGTTATACAAGTGCAATATAGCAACTGTATGATGAAAAGAAATATTTTCATTTTTCACATAAACATCACCTTGCACTCTGACTTTTCAGAGTATGAGTCAGATTGATGTCATCAATTCACACACACACATCTTGAGTACAAATACTTTTGAAACACATATGATTTCTTGTGTACAACAGTCTTGTACATTTTATTAAATGCTTGCCACATTTCACGTAGAAACATGTAGTCAGTTTGGGATTATAGTCAAAATCCCTTTTCCAATACAAGGTCAATCCACTGGACTGACCCAGTGCAGATTCAATTCACAGAATATGTACATAAAATTTATTCTTACTGACAAACAAATAAGAATATTATGGAATTGCAGAATACAAAATTAATATTTAAAATATTATACTACAGTGTTTTTCTGTAATTCACAATGTACATTTTTATAGAAAAAAGTCATTGCCATTAATAAGCAAAGAAAAATATAACTGCATTATACTTTTTTGGTTAGAAAATCCTACTGGAGCTATAACATAAATATGTAGTAGTGAAACAACATTCTAGTAGAAGAGGTTAGGTAAATACAATGTGTGACATTACAACTGCATATTATAACCTGCTCCTCTACTTTTGTGAGTTAAAGCAATTCTATTATGAAGAGAGCATAAAACAAAAATAATCATTGAAGCCATTAATTGAATAATCAAAACTGAAGAAGGGGTACAAAAATACACTTGTGACATATTTGTTTTTTCACCACAAACTGATAAAGACCAGCATATCTTTAACACATGACCAGCATGTTTAGGGTACTGGGAAATTGAAAAGTAGAAGTATTGGTGTCTGATACTTCACACCATAGCATATTATGATATAGTGAGAAACATAACACATCACCTATAAGTGAGCCTCACCTTTACTGTGATGACTCCATCTTTTCCAACTTTTTTCATTGCATTTGAGATCAACTCTCCAATTTGTTTATCTCCATTTGCTGATATAGTTGCAACCTATTACAGAAAAATATACATTATAAATTTAGTTAACTGAACCTGACAAAAGATAAATATTTAATATAAAAGAAACATAAACTTAAGATCATTAAAATATATTACGGAAATACTTCTTAAAGCTTATGACAAAACTACATTAATAATGGAATGAAATAGCAAACTATCTCATGCAAACATTAATTTTTCAAGAGATTATAACCGAGACTAAATTAAGTTCAATAAGTACAGACGTGGGTTGTTTCACCTCAATTTCAGTTTTTTTAGGAGTATTTAAAGGAATCTGTAAATATTATTTTGTCCAAGAGGCCAATATAACACATTCACACAACAGCAATATTGTAAAAAAAATATTTTTTGAATTGAAGAATAATATGTAATGGTTTACTACCATCTAGTATATGGATTAAAAGTATTAGACCCATTGTCCATCTAAGTCATCCCATCTAGTAAACATAAAAATAAAACACTCAAAGCCAGCCCTTATCATTCAAATATTAATCAAGCCTTCCCTTAAACTCCCTTACATTAGCTGCATCCACCATATCTGAAGGTAATCCATTCCAAACCACCCTCTAAGAAAAATAAAGCTACTTTAACTGAAGATGACTCCTATCTTGCCAAAACATATATTCATGTCTCTTAATCATACAATTCTCAGCATTAAGTATGAGAAAAGATGATGCATCAGCACTACCAATTCCTTTAATAATCTTAAACACTTCAATAAAATCCCTCTAAATATTCTTTTTTCAAGAGAAAACAATTTCAGAGATCTTAACCTGTCCTCATATGACAACATTTCCTTTCCAAAGTATCAGACAAAATTCTCATACATATAATATACACATAAACTGATTTAACAGTTTTTCCTCTCCATTGATTTTAGCAATCTAAAGATGTTTTTCCCTGCAATATTAAACTTTAAGCTTATATAAAAAAACATCCATATTAAAATTACTTCTCGTGAACAAAATCAAATTTAATTACAAAAACTTCAAATAGTTTATTAGATAGCTTTATTTTTTGCCATTTCTTTTCATTATTATGGTTCCATTCTGTCTAATTTAATGTAATTAGGGCCACCTATAAGTTAAAAAGTGCCCTGGGCAAACTTAATGTTGGGTTAATTAATAGCCCATACAAGGCTTTATATTTATATTGTATTAAATTGCTTTGAAAGTTAGTTAATTAAGCATCCTATAAGCAATGCTAATCAGGTAACTATGGTGGCTTTTCACATAGAAACAAAGAAAATCTTATAAAATTAAAGGGAAAAGTATTTACAAGTTGGCATCTCTCTGTAAAATTCTATCAAGGTGGCTCAGGTTGGAAAAAAGCAAAAATATAAACTTACTGATACTAATAATGCTGAATGAGTAATGAAGAAAACTTTAATCTAAGTTTAACATAAGTTTTTCTTCATTACCCATTAGCCATCTCCAAGAATCATTAGTCTCAAAGTGGGTTCCTCGTCATCAAAATTACTGATACTAATGTAAGTTTTTTTTTATTAGTAATTTTCAAGCAGACAAAATTTTGTATAGGACTTACCTGGCTTATTTCTTCAGGAGTGGTTACATTTTTAGATAAAGTCTTTAACTGCTCTACTACTTTCTCCACTGCCAACATTACTCCTGTGTAATGAAAATAAAATTTGTACCCAAATACACAAAATTCTGTGAAAAATAGTATATTATAGTAAAATCTCCTAGTCTATTTAAAGTGATATGAAAGATACAGCTGTAAAACGTTTTTGTCCTTTGCTATGTATAAAACTGCTTACATGCAGTAAAGAGAAAAAAATGTACTAAAGGAAACTTATCAGTTGTATCTGATGTTGTATCCTCATATGTACAGCTAGTTTATTTTGAACGTTTTTTTTTTCTTAGAAAGAATGGAATCACATATGATGAACATGTTAGAACAAATTATGTATATATTTTCATTAGTTGTTTAATCCGAAAATATTTTATTCACAAATATTTCTTAAACGTGTATGTTAAATTTTCCTTTCCTTTTCTTACATTAATACTAACTCCTGTGTTAATATTTTTTATCTAATCAGTTTTTGTATTTTCTCTCTGAAACAAACAAACAACAAAAAAAGCAACATATGAAGCATGGCAAATTAAAATCACTGGAATTATCTAAAGTCATTTTGAAAATTCTAGACTTTGGTCACTCAAAGTTCTCTTGAAAGATTTAAAAGTTACTTAGAATAATATCACAAAATCATTATTTCTGCATTAAAAAGGTTCTTATAAAAACCAGAAAACTGACTATGTATATACTTAAAATTTCCTTATTACAAATCTTATTAACAATCAGAATAGTGCAAGGATTGTAAGAAAATATATTGCACAATAAAGAATTTCCTGAAGACTAGCTGATAATATTTAGAATTAATGGCAAAAAAACTATTACACTGGAAATTAAATTTAAGGAACCTATAACACTGAATGAATCAGCAGGCATACCTGGAAAGTACAAAAATATACAATAAATCAAATATAATGTTTCTGATACTTCATCAAATTTCCAGTTCCTCTGGGAATACAAAATATTTGGTTGGAAAAGGGTTAACCATTGGTATATATAACTAAAGGTAAAACATGAGCAACAAAATGAAATCTGTGAAAGACATACACCTGGAATCACAGATTTTCCTTGTTGAAATCAATGATAACCAACCCCAGGTTCTCAGTAAATAAGCTCAGAAAACTGGGGAGGAAATGCATGACTGATACATTATTTACAAATATCAAATTTACTGTCATATGGTGAAATCCTGTCAACTTTTTTTTTTATTAATGATTTGTTGACAAAATTTGAATACAAGTACTTTTCAATAGTTTAAAATTACATATCAATCCTACAATTCAATAAAGTGGTTAAGGCTATTTGCACCAAACAAAATAGATAAAACTTATACAATTACTTAAAACAGAAAAAAAACAATACTAAAACAGAAATAACACAATTAATAAAAGCAACTAGTAAAAACATCTGATAAAACCTTTGAGCATATTATAAAGATCAATGGTTCAAACAAAACAACAAAATAATGTTCAGTTGAATAGTGTCATTATTCCCACTAACACTGTCCTACACAACTTAAAATACAGGTATAAGAAAACCAATGCTGCTCACATCAAAGTAAGATGTGGGCAACAGTTAATGGAATGTCAATTTAGTCACAAATAGCTGGTCACTGCCAAGTAACATGTACTAGTGTGTGAAAAAAAATAATTGAAGACATGCTAAGACAACTTCATACACTAGAAACTTGTGCAAAATATACACTAAGCCTAAAAATAAATATTATGTTAGCATACTATAGCTACAAGAAGTAACAGTTTAAGTAAGAATGATTATTTTCTATAGTGCCAAAGATTGTAATGTGAAAAGGTCTTCATGTTTCAATGCTTACCTTTAGACAGAAAATACATATTAATCGAGATCTCCATCTTTATTGGGCTTAGATTTAATTTCTATTCAGATATTAATACCACTTTTTTAACACCTTTTGCTGTTTCAAAATAAGATAATGCATGAACTGGTAGGTTTTTGTTGCCTTTTAGATTTTGGTGAAAATACAAAAATATTTTTAAAATACCATCTATTTCTTTTATAATTTCAGTATAAAACATACACTAAAATTAAAAAGGAACATCATTAATCTTCAGAATAATGTCATTAATTTAAATGAAGGTAAAGAGAAAAGCACATACCTTAAGGTTAAAACAAATGAAATTTTTAATTTCATCAATCTTTATATCAATTTTCCAATCAGGTTCTGCAGAATGATAAGTGCTCATAAAGTTCTTAGGTTGTTCAGTCATTTCATCAGGTTTTAACCCACTGTATTTATATTTTATTGCTATTTATTTTTATAATAATAATAATAACATACCTTTTCTAATTTCAATTGGATTTGCACCCTTGCTTATCTTTTCAAATCCTTCCTTGGCAATTGCTCGTGCTAAAACTGTTGCTGTAGTAGTTCCATCACCAGCCTCTTCATTTGTGTTATTAGCGACATCCTGGACTAACTTTGCACCAATGTTCTGAAACTTGTCTTTTAGTTCAATGGCCTTAGCTACTGTCACACCATCTTTGGTGATCTTGGGACTGCCCCAGGACTGTTCCAGAATGACATTTCTGCCCTAGAGCATTTAATTTGTTACTATTTATCAAGATATCAAAATTAATACTTTGAAGCTCAACTTGGACTGCACAAATTTAAAATCCAATGTCAGTACTTTTTAGCTGTTCTTCATTAAAATGAAAAATGTAATCTATTAGCTATTAATTTTGAATAGGGTAACATCAAAATATATACATTTAAAAACTGTATAAGTGCAGTGATCAACATATCTGGGAACTTTTGGATTTGGCTGATCCTGAGATTAAAAAAAATATATATAGTACATTGCTAATCCATAACTGTAAAGATTCAATCATAAAATCTTCAGTAGAACTAAATACTTTTAGTTTGGTTACTATAGTATTATTGAATAAAACAATCATATTAAAATATTAACATGATTAAAAGATTAAGGTAGCATGTTTAAATGCTAAATTCTTTTTTTAGTGTACATAATTACATTTCACTTAATTTTTCTTGTATGGCCTCTCCAGTGTTTTTACATGACATAGGACAAAGAACTAGAATGTTGGTGATGAGATATTTAATAAAATACATAAAAGGAAAAATTAGAAGGAAAAAAAAGATCAGTTAGATGCAAGTGAACACCTGTACGTGGGCACCATGCTTGTTGCAGGAACAGCTATTTTGCCCTGAGAACATATACAAGGCACTGAAGACATAGAAGGTACCACATACATCTTACATCACTTCATATACATCAAATACTGTAATGCTAATGAGTACTCACCCAGGAAAATTTGGTGAGCTACAAAAAGACAAAATAGCTACACACTCTGGCAAAATAATGATACTTATAAAAAAAATTAGACATTTTCAAACTGACACTTATTGGTTTAAAAATTGAAGTAAATAAAAGCTGATATTTTAAAGTGACCAATCACATTATGTTATCAGCTTTCAAATTATTTTAACTTTTTAATCCAGAGTAATGATGAATAAATGCACATAAGAAACAGCATGTATTCATTAATAATTTAAGGCCTAAACTTAAATAAATGAGATAAGCACTTAGTACATAAAAGTATGGCAGAAACACTAAAAATTTCACTGATTAATGCTTTATATAAATATTTTATTGAAATTAAGTGAGAACTTGGTTTCATATGAATATGTACGTATTCACAAAAAATGTATAATATTTCTATAAACATATTAACGAATGCGTCAATGCTATAAAAATACCCGGTGACTACACCACTTTGAACCTTTTTGGGCAAATTGTAATATCACACTCTGTGACCAATGGAAATATGGTAAACCTCATATTATGTTTTAGAATCCTTTTTTATATTTTTAGCTTGATAGATTAATGTGGTTAATTCCAAGGTATGATGTTTTGAGATGGAGATATGAGTAAGCAACCAATCATGTAATTTACTTTATTAGTATAATGAAGCAAATAGATAATTAATCACAATAATATCAGATGTGCTTTAATTGGTTTAAAGGTTGAAAAAAAAAAAGACAATATCCAATGATTTTTCAAACATCTTTGAAAATGAAAACTGTTAAAAACATGTGATCCAAGCTTTTTATGAATATCTGGTATTTTTCTTGGTTTTAATATGATATTTTGGAGTCCACAGAAGGAAAAGTCTACTGAAAATTCAGTCTTTCCTAAGCCCCTGCATATTCCATTTTAAAAGCAGACAGGCACTTAATGAACTAATTCTGGAAATATTGCAATATAAACAGTCTGAGTATTTGTTATGACATTCATTTAAACTTTAAACATAATAATTACCTTGGGCCCCATTGTTATTGCAACAGAATCGGCTAAGACATCCACCCCTTGCAGCATTAAAGCACGAACATCTGGTCCAAACTTAACATCCTTTGCAAATCCCCGTATCAAACTTGGTAAAAGTTGGTGGGCAGCTGATGATCGCAGTATACTTGGCAGACGATACATAATACTTTGAAAATGAGATACATATATAATCAAATTTTGTTACTATATAAATACATTTAGATTTGGTACTACATTTTGATCAGAAAATTCTCTAGCTTATTTGCTGTAGCAAAATTTAACTTGAAGAGATTCTTAGCTGTATTATTACCTTAATAATTTTTACAAATATTGGGTGGCTAGATTGGTAATTAGACTTAACACTAGCAACACTTCAACATGATTAGATGTAACTCATGGAAAAACAGGATGGAGTTTAAAGGGTGCAGTAAGTGTCAAAAATGAGTTGTGTTTGAGGATTTTATACAGTTGCACTCTGTTTGGAAGTAGATAGCAGTGTCCTCTAATCGTAGGTCAGGGGATGTCTCAAGACATGGGTAGTGCTAGTTGTTCTGGGTAAGTATGTTTTTATTGTTTGCCTAAGAAACGTATGGTATGGTCAGTCCAGAATAATATCTCAACCAAGGCAGTTTGGAGAGAAAGTGGTTTAGATTCAGTGAAAGCAACCATCTGTCTGTTTGTTTGTTTTCTGAATTTTGCACAAAGCTGCACGAGGGCTATCTGCACTAGCCGTCCCTAATTTAGCAGTGTAAGACTAGAGGGAAAGCAACAAGTCATCCCCACACACCGCCAACTCTTGGGCTACTCTTTTACCAACGAATAGTGGGACTGACCATCACATTATAATGCCCTCACAGCTGAAAGGGTGAGCATGTTTGGTGGGACAGGAATTCAAACCCGCGACTCTCAGATCGTGAGTCGAAAGCCCTAACCATCTGCCCGTGCCAGGCCCGCAAACATCTGTCATATCAAGCAAGTACATATACTGTGTTTGCGTTAAATAATAATTGTTCATTATAGGAAGGAGAAAATGTTCATCCATGATATACGTTATTGTGGAGTTTTTGACCAATTGTTCATTGTATTTTTTTTAATTGTATCCTTTCTCTTTATTTCCTTCTGACAAACTGAGTTATTCAGAGAATGAGAATTACCTTGTAACAAATATCTTTCTCTATTTTCCTGTTATTCTATGGACCTACTTTTCATACTTAAGAGAAATACCAGAGTGGATAGAAAGGAGAAAATTTTGGTGACTGGATCACAAGATATCTAACTGTGTAGTTTTCTATAAAAATGTATATTGCTTTTTACTCCTTGGGTTATTAAGTTAAAAAAGGCTTTGTTCTTGAGGAAATAGCCTTTTTTACAATTTGTGAGACTTGCAAATATGAAGAACAGTTGTCCATTGAAGGGAGATGGTTGTCTGAGAAAGTTGTCCAGTCTTGGAGAAGTTCTCACCTGGATGTAGGTTGTTCACCAGTGCTAAGGTCCAGGACTTCTTTCTTATTGCAGCCAAAGACTAAGGAAGGAGAGCTGCTGATGACTTGTGCATCCAGAATGGCTCTTTTGATCTCCTCTTGATAGTTAATCTCAGTGTGAGAGAAGCAAGGAAAACTTGGACTCCTAGCTCTTTGCCAGCCAGAGCAACCCAACCCCATATCTTGCCAAAGCTACCTGAAAATAGTCCTAGATGTGCTGTTGCTGGATGAAATTCACCAATGACAGCAGCTATCTCACCAACAGGTGAGATGGTGAGCACCAAATGAAGAAGACAGTGAACCATGGGGCAGTGGAAAGTCTCTCTAAGTGTGTGTGTGGGAGTATATTCTGGCATGATGGCTATGCATCATGGAGGAGACTGGGGTAATACAAAGCTGGTGGATGAGAGTCAGAGTCCCTGAGCATTCCTAACATGCTGTAGCCATGATATTGAGGATACCACAGTCAGGTGATGATCGAGAGTTTATGAGGGAAAACTTCTGGCCATGATCATGGGTCCCTATGAGTGAGGCAAAACATATCTTGTCCCTGACATTCAAGGGTGCAGTGAAAAACGACTTAGGCATTTTCTTGAGGTGTTTCGAGAAGGAAAATATTTGGAAAGGCTGATCTCCAGAATAGGCTGCACAATACCTGCTCTTGCTGTGAGACAGTCATTGCTGAGTTGCACTGAAGGTTCAACCTTGCACAAAATAAAGCAAGGCAGGATTCAATGCTTGAAAGAAGGGTACCACAGAGAACTTGCCCACTTCTATGAACAACCTGCTCCATTTGCATGTTAAAGCTTACACAGTCAAACAATGAGGCACTACATGGGTATAAGAAATATTTTCACCCTTACCAAAGCAGTTTTTGTAAGGATGGTGTATGAAGCAGTAATGTTGAATTGGTTACAAGAGAATAAAAGTCAAAAGTGGCACCAAATTATGTCAAGCTCAAGCCCAACTGAGCATTAATAAACCACCCACCCATAAATCCTGCCACTGTGATATAACCACATTGGTACCTCTGAACTCACTTAGTCAGGAGTCAGAGGAGACCTAAAAGTTAGAAAAGATGAGAGTGCTGACTTGAGCCACCTCAACCAAGCAAAAGAGCAGCAAAGAGCTGAGGGTACTTATCTTCTCTTTCATGACTAGGCAAATAAGGAAATTCCAACAGCCTTCCAATTAATGTGGCTAGGATTAACTATGGTTTTCAGCAGCTAAGAGGGCTATGTGGTTTAAAAATCCTGTGACTGAAAGGTGGAGACCTTTGCTTTACCAACTATAAGGTGGTATTGTAAGGTACAATTTATGCACTACATTTTATGAATACCACTTGATTACTTAAGAGTTAAGATGGTTTGTTGATCTTAAGGTCAGCCAAACTGAAAGGGCTTAACAACTTTTACTTTCTAAGCTATTGAGCAGTGTTGTTTCACTATGAGCAATACCCAAAGGATATTGGATAATAGCTGCTTAATTAACAGTTTAGAACAACTGGTGCTAATAGATGTAAAACCTAGAACATAAACAGTTGATGCAACTGAAAATTAGAGCCACAAGTTTGAATACTCGGTTGGAAGTGCATTATGACCTTTGCTTTCTGAGCTATTGAGCGATTTTTCTGTGGCAAAATACTCCAATCACTCACCTGATCTAACTGAATGGTGATAGTTCTATGAATCATACCATATGGTCCTTGCTAGAGCTTCCCCTATACCCCAGAAGAGTGTGTAACTTCTCCATGTGCAGTAATGAAGTTGAGGGTACATTGATATATATACCATTGTATCACCATGAATAGTGATCCTGGCTTACAAGCTGAATTCTTTGAGTAAACACTTATTTCATGATTCCTCGAAAAGAAAAAATGTGTTTGATGGTTCACAGAAGGGAGGACATTATAGTATCACATCTAACAAGATGTAGCCAACTCATGTAACCCAAGAAACTTATTGAAGTTATTTTTGTGGTAGCCAGAGGCAGTCTATTTTAAACTAACAGTGTATGTTACAATGAGTGATGTTGATTCACAAGTCTTGAATAATACGAAAGAATCAATTATACAAATAACACAACTATATAAAGTAACATATGAATGGTAAGAAATAATTTGATCTGGATGTTAAGATTTTGTGATATAAAGTTAACCATGATTATTGATGAATTGAACTAATTATGTGTGTGAATTTATCACTAGTAAATGAAATTCACAAACAGTAGCTTAGAAATTATAGTAAAAGTAAAATTGGTGTACCCAGTGTTTTTTTATTTTGATGTGATATTTTCAATCATGCAGACTGAAATATTTTCTAACCACAGTTTCCTGTATAGTTTCTTACCATTGTTTCAATATAAGGTACAGTTGTAAATGTACTGCTGGAGAGGGAAAGTAAAACCTGTGTGGTGAAACATCACAAGTCCCAACTAGTTAGCACTAAACATGTACCTGGATGAAAGTCCTAGAGAAAAGACAATGTAAACATTAGTAGATTCTAACAATCAGAAGTAAAGGTTAGCATCTGCTAATGTGAGTCAACTTGTGGGTAGGAAACAGTTTTTCAGTCTAGACCTCATTCCTTTCACACTGGACCTGCACTCTATTTACAAAACAACCATATGGTAGTTGAGGGATGTGTATGGATCAGAGGGTAACCTAGCCATGGTCACATGAATGGCAACAGAGAGCAGCACAATTATAGGTATTGGTCAGGTGGAGACCTAATGGAGCTTGGGGGACTAATGTTCATAGGTGCTAGTAGGACATTTGTTACAGCCAATACAAGCACAAACACACTTAAGTCTGTAGAAATGTCACTTGGCAAAGCCAATTACTTTAATACTCTGTCTCTAAAGGTAGATTTAGAGAAGAGTATGGTTTTAACTGAGCAGTTATGATCCTCTTTACAACCTACACACCTGGCTGATCCTACTAACCTGAATTTTATTTACCTTAGATTTTCACTCAGGACCTCTGCTATTTACGGATTTATTCTTAACCCTTCTGCCAGTCTTATTCTTCAACTAGTCCCATAGTGTTCTCCATTCTAACCAGCTTGTATTTTTTGAGTCTATCTTGTTCCCTTGTTGTTCATATGCTATTACTTTGACCTCTACCTTTTGCTTATGCCAAGAACTGAATCTTTTTCAGTCTCTTCTTTCTTTTCCCTTATTTACTGTGCACCATGTCCAACTTGTACCATTACGCAAATTATATTCTGTATGAAAACATCCCATATGTAATTACATGTCTCATGCTCTCTATTTTACAGAATTTCTTGGCCAAATATTTTTGATCATTTTGTACTACCTCTACTTGATGTCTACCTTATTTACACAATTCAGTGTTGGATAAGGGTTTGTACATGTGGTTTGGAGTATAATGGTAATAGAAAATAGGATAGCCCAGATGGATCAAATGACCCCTCCTTAATTTTTGGATGTGATCTTGACTATAATACAATGTACAGTAATATATAGAAAACATGGGACCATTGTACAATTTCTCATTGACTTCATCTGTCTGATCAGATGGCCTACAACAATTGCCAATTAAAAACTTACTACCTTTGAAAAAGCCTGATTTTAACCCATATAAAACCCAAACAGAATGCAGTTCATCCTTTACTGTACAAAACAACAAACAAACACACACTTCTTTTAAAAAGTCTATCACTGCTAGCTAACTCATTACCAGGGATTTTAAAATAATTTCCATTATCAATGTTCTCCAAATCATTATATCTGTCTTTCATTTCTACTGGAGCCCTGAAATCAATTTTTCCCCAAAACTCCCAAGAGTAATATTAGAATTATAACTTAAAACAAGTAAGCTCATTTTTTAATCTACTAGTACTATATTTATCTTTAAGTCTGATACTGATAGATTTTTCTTTAGAACTGTTATCTGATATTTCGAACTTGAATATCATCTTTCAAGTTCGAAACATCAGAAATACGATCATGCTACTTACAGAAATACTATAAACAGAATTCGTATTTATGTTAGTAGTACAAGTATTACCATAATATAGTGTTAAAAACATGATGAGGAAAGATCAAAGTAAATGAGTGTCGTACTATTTATGTTATCTCAGCGTAGCTCTGTTAATACTGCTAGAGCTAATCTCAGCGTATATCATAGGATGTGTAAACTGTAATAATAGTACGTCAATCCTAATGTAAAGTATTAAACGCACTTTATCTAGAAATTTGCAGAATGTAATTCAGAAAGAAAACCTTCTTACGTCACGTCCAATATATGTAATACAGAATATTTTTAGCTTACTTTGATGTTAAAAAGTCAAATGAGTATACTTCACAAGAGGACAGACACAGTTACAAATTTACAGCAGTTTCGACAGAGTTCTCAAAATCACGTGGCTGGTTATCCAGTTCTTGGAAGTTGGAACAGTATTTTGTATTTTACCTAGTAAAAATATTCAAATTTATTCAAAAAATTATATAAAATGGGTAATTTGAAGCTATAGTTGTGTTTTCTTAATTAATATTTTCCCAAATAACTAAAACTAAAGTCTAAACTAGGTAAATAAAATTCCGAAAACCATGTGGAAATTTTATTATACACGATTTGGGGCTGCCTCTTCTAGAACTTACCGTTTTACAGTGAGAGAAACACGTGGATTGTTTAGTTGTAAATTTATTAATAAAAAGATTTTACAGTTATTTCCTCATACATAAATAAATTTTCATGAATGTTGTTTATTCTATTTCGATGTAACATCGTTATTAATAAAACTGTAAGAATAGTGCTGACTAAACATGTATGATTTTGTAATCATATTCTCCTTACTTCGATACTCGTTTATGAAAAGCTTTTGCTCATGCGTTGTTTATCACACAGATATATTCTTTAGGTCAGGCGAGAAGGAAGAACAAGAAGACAAATTGGGTTCATTTATATCCGTTCCTTCTTTAACAAATTTGTTTTGATAACTATTTTGTGGTTTTGCTTATTTGCATCAAATATTTTTCAATTACGTAATTCCCAGACGCTCAGAAATGGTAACAAATATTAGCTTTTAATTTAAATTTTATTGTAGTAGTGTTCTTCTCTGTGTTACTAACTCAGTAACTGTTACTATTAGTGTTACTGTTAGTCAGTTAGTTACTCTTAGTCTTACTTAGTATAGTTTGTTAATACTGATAAAATTGGTCACATTAGTACTTATAATATACCAAGATAATATTAGGAAATGATATTGTAATAAATACAGAAACTTCTGATAAGGTTTCAATTTTTGAGAGGAAACTATATTATTAATATTATAGTATATATATGAACACTTATAGTTATAACAATTAATATTTATGATGAATATCAAAGCTGAAGATATGGTTATTTATTTATATATATAAGAATATGCTGATATATATATATATATATATATATATGCACATTTTATGCTTACTAGGAAGTTCTATATGAACTGAGGTAAAGGTTTTAGCCATTAGCTATTGTTAACAAATTACTTTCTAACAACTCAGACTACTGAAGGAGAACCAAATGATCTTGTTTTTGTATGGACTGGATTCTGCTGCTACCTTGCATTTGGTTTAATTTTCTCCATTATTGTTTGAAAAGCTACATATGTTATGCCTGTTGATTACTAGAAGGTTGTGGTTTGACAATTTGAATTAAGCCCATCAGATGTACAAAGGATGTTCTGTGGGCTATAGGTTCTTGGAGGGACATATCAAGGTCTTGTTATCATTACTTACAAACCAGTTCAAAAGTGTAAGTGCATTGTGAGACAGATCTTACTATAGCTCCTGATATGTGTTCATTTAAGGTACCTTGACGTCCATATACATTACAATGTGCTTCATAGATAGGTTCATCACTTAATAGGCAGAATTTGTTCTAAAGAAAGTTCCACCATAACCCTTCAAAGTTGTCATAACAAAATAATTTTTAAATTTTTTGCCAGTCTTCCTCAAAATTCTTATTCAGCAGTTATTTGAATACTGAATTAAAGTAGTACTCTAGGCTATCCTGCTTTTTCAGTTCCAAAATTTTGTCATCCTTTGCACAGTTTATGTTTCCCAGCTTTTTGAAAGTACACACATTTGTAGAGTTGTTGTACACACTTCAGAGTTGGCTCATGTATATATGTGGCAATATTTGGTGCAGTAAAGTCATTGTAAATTTCTTTTTAATGATTTTTTTACTTTTACATTCCAAATTCATATAACTTATGACATTCTGCACACACTGCTGCAGCACTAATCTATATTTATGATGTGTGTCTGTATTTACACTGTGTGTTGTTTTTTTTACAGATTATGCTAGATAGAAAAAGAATTCAATTTGTATATTCAAGAAATGTCTGGATGCCTTTAGCAGTGCAAAACTACTTCTAATTTATTTCAAAAAATGAGCATTGACTTGTATTTTTCCACTATGAGTGCATTTCCATATTTTCCAAATTTTTGAAAATTTAATGTTTGATAGTTTTAAGCATTGATTTAGACCACATTTTCTCTTTGTATGTTTAATTAAAAATTAGTTGATGGGATTAAGCTCTTTGTTTAAAAGTAAGGTTATTATATTTGTGTTTCAATAACCTGCTGACCTTTGTTATTAATCTTCAAACTAAACAGGAAAGGCATGTCTGTGTGCCCTAAGTGAACAATTCAACATATTTTCACTCTACTATTGATATTTTGTATGTTTTTTTTAAAAAAATTGACTATGCCTTGCCAAACCTTTAAACTCATTCACTTCTTTTTCTACTTAGTACCAACAGTTAAAGTCATCTGAGTATTTCTTAAGCTATTTATGTACCATTTATTAATTTAACTTTTATATGTATCTTTAAACTACACTGGTATTATGAATTTGTTTTGAAACTGGGGTCTTATAGTGATTTATATATACTTAGTGTTTTTTATCATTACAGGCAGCCCCTGGAAGACGTCTTATTCCTCTCTTAAACAGAGTTCTGGTCGAGAGATTTACTGCAGAAATGAAAACAAAAGGAGGAATAATGATTCCTGAAACAGCTCAAACTAAGGTTCAGAGTGCGACTGTAGTAGCTATAGGCCCTGGACGTCGAAATGAGGTAAACAATTTTATTTAAAGTCAAGATGGGAAATGTTATATTTTCAAAATTGCTGAAACAATATAAGGATATTTCCTGTTTACTGTAATGAGTTTAACTTAAAGAAAAAAAGAAAGCAAACTGTTACATGCCTGGTAGAGCTATACTTTTGTAAAACTGAAATGAATGGTTTGGAAATTTTGGTTAAGTAGTAACTCAAATGTTTGCATGTTAATAATGTAAGAAACAAGTAGATGAGAGAAGGCTAGTCAGCCTGCTAAAATCCCTATAAAACTTTCAAATTGTAAATATGCAAATTCATTTTGTTAATGTGGGTTGGTACTATGTATTATTAAACACCACTAAAACAGATGTACACTACATTACATATTTTCAGTCATTATTCCAGTTTTAGTTGTGTTTGTTAATTAAATGAAGGCTTTTATACCAGTAAGTTCATTTGACTATACAAATTACCACTAATAATATATTGACCACTGAAGGTTGAAGTAATTTGATCTTGGATCAAACAGTTATATATAGGCTTTAAGTTAGCAGTATCTTTATAAAATTCAAAGCACTGTTTCCAGTCTTACTGTTTTGAACACTTGAATTAAAATCAACTCTAGTTCTTGATATTTCCAAAAAGTAAATATTCAGTTACTCAGGTTAAGCTTCAGAATCATTCTGGTACCTTTCCTGTTTTCATTTAAACGGATAAGTGTTCTTACAATGAGGAGATAAACTGCACATGACACCTAACATAATTATTATACAATTCAAAAATAATACCATCTCTTAGAATAAAAATTTAAAAATCCTGGTTCCCAGTTAGCTTTATTTTTCTTTCAGTACAACCAATCACAAGTCTTTTAAGGCTTACAAACAACCATCAAATTATTTTCTCATATAGCAATTCTCTTGTGCTTCCAAACCAAATTATAAGCTCTTTTTTATTAATTGTTCCAAATATGATATCAGTCAAATAACTGAATGTGTGTGGGGTCAGTCCAATTGGAGAAGGAATGTTAAATGTAATTTTGAATTTACTACGTGTTTCTACATGAAATGTTAACAAGCTTTTACAAGTCGGTTGTACACGAAAAAATCTGATATGTTACAAAAATATTTGTACTCGAGATATGTCTGTGAATTGATGTCATCAGTCTGATTTGACAAATCAAAGTAAAAAATAATGTTCATGTGAAGAATAAAAATACTTTTGTCCATTATACAGTTCGCATATTGCATAACCTTTAGATTTTTCTTTCATTAGCCTTATATATTGTATCTGGTATTTAACCATGAATTATCACTAAATCAGCAAGTAGAGTAAAATGAATAGTTTGTAACTGACATCAAATACATAATACGATGTTTAATGGCATTCTGTAAAAGGTCATGATGTGCACAGATTGACTCCCACCCATGCATATATGGTTAAATTGTTAACATTTTCTGCATTATGAACATGAGAATGAGTAAAGTGGCAAAAAGGCCTTTAGTATTGTCATACTTTTCACCTGTGAAAACAACAAAACCAGACTAATGTACCTTGTCTGACAGACATTTCAAATAATTTAAATTAACAGCACACATCAAATATTTCCATAAGCTCATAACTTTAACAAATAATAATTTACCAAAAAACACTTCTGGAACTCTGGTTAAAAAAATTTTACTTAATGTACCATATATTTAATTTTGCTTTTCATACTTTTAATTCCTAAATTAAAAAAATGTAGTCTTAGTCAGGTTATCCAAATTTTAACAACTTTGAACATCTGAATCGCATAATAAAACCAGGTAACATTCTAGTAGACTTTTAGGATTTCAAGCTTTTATTAATAATCGCACCTCAATCCTTTTAATTTTAACAAATAGATGCTTATCTCACAAAATAAACAAGTCCCTTTTTAAATTTCCATATCCTGCATGCATCACTTAACATTTCTCTATGAGAGTACATTTAAGAAAAACTCGATGTTTAAATAAACTGATCTTATTGGGTATATGTCCTTTTTATATCATTGGTAAAAAGATTAGTAAAATGATGTCTAAAATATCAGCTATGTTCCCTTCCTTTATTAGAATCTTTTAAGGACTACTATTTTTTTTAACTTTTTTTAGTTCAATCTCTGTATACATAAAACTTCCAATTAAATTTGATAGTTTGATTTCTTGGTCCAAATGTTTTCATAATCAGAACAGTAGTTTTCAACTTTTTTCCAGTTGAGGACCAGCTAGTTCCAATCTTAAATTTTCATGGACGACTTCATACAATATTAACTTTTTAAAGTACTTTTAAGTTACATTGTAAAATAGTATAATTCAGTAACTGTATTTGAAAAAAAAATTCAGTGTTTCAATGTCTATATGACCCTCCATTATTATGTAACAAAGTAGTTTTTTAATTGTTCACAGAAAGGAGAGCTAATCCCTGTGAGTTTGAAAGTTGGAGACAAGGTATTGTTGCCTGAATGGGGAGGTACAAAACTAGAAATTGAAGAAAAGGTAAAAAATAATCAGTTTGTAATGAAGTATTGTGAAATTATTGTTAGAATTTACCTAGAGAATTGAACAATTGAGATCAGACAAGATTCGAACTGCAACTTTGCTTTCTAGGAAAATGCTTAAGCAATTAAATTACTTTGGCTTGAATTCCATAAATCTTTTTTTAGTTGATTTTTGTGAGGACAGAATATTGCAGAGTTCATGAATTACTGAATTGGCTTATTAAGCTCACATTCTGTTTGTTGGATTTTGTGTTAAAAATGCTGATGTATCTTATGAATCTTCCCATATTCTGTCATTTGTAACCAACAAAGTAAAAACTATGGTTTGTGGTACTTTAGATATGATAGCTTAATTTTATATATTGTCTGCCTGGCAAGGAGTGCTGGTTTGAATCCTACCTGATCTCAATCTTACTTTCTCCCGTAAAATTCTAACTTTTGCAGAATAGTGTCCCACACTTAAAATTTCTACATGATAATTTTGTTATTTATTTGTTACTTTAGCTTGAAATAAGTAAACTGGTGTCTCATAATGATCAATTAAGATAATTAGTTCGATCAAAAATGAACAGGCATGTGGAACATTTTACAAACTTTTAAGAACTAGTCACAACCATGCTATCATTAAAAAAAAAAAAGGTATATACATATGTTTGTTCACACACACACTACTTCTACTGTTGTCCATCCTTTCAAACTAACCTCTTCAGGTAGTCCCAAATATGTCAAATAGGGTTAAGATCTGAGCTTTGGGTAAGTCATTCGAATATGTTAATGTTCGTATCTTTAAATCGGGAATGGGTCATACATATTTTGTGGCATGGAGAATTATTATGTTTGAACAACTCCTTCATCCCCTAACTAACAAACTCAACCACCAACAAAATGTGTTCAAGATATCTTGATATCCATAGTCACGAAGACATGCATATACTTTACAAAATTATCGTGTGCCAGATACGAAGGTTGCAGCTCATCTAAAATCATGAAATGCAACTTTCACAAACCTCTTAGATATTTCCCATTCACATGTGATCTCAAGTCATTATGAATTTGTTGAAAAGTTTATTTCAGGTTTCTCCTCCAAAACACAGGATTTTTGGCTGAGTTGAATGATTTTATTCTGTCAAGTTAAGTAAACTTCAAATGGTCTTAAATGCAGCCGATTCATGTGACTAAGCTTTGTGATTATTTGAAATATAAATTTTCTTCACTTTCTGTAACCTATAATTTATCCTCTTTTAAACTTATGATACTTTGGCATCTTGAAAACCTTCAGTACTTTTAATCTGCTTTGTGCATCTATTCATATTGACCTAAGTTGATTTGTAAAGTATGCTAAGTATTGTGTGACATGTTCAAGGGGGTGTCTGGTTAGTTTGGGCATGGTAGTTTGTGTATATTTTCAATGTTTAAGAATCTTCAGTCATCTGAGAGAGAGAGAGAGAAAAAAAAATCTTACACCTCTCAAGTATGCTGCAACCAAGGGAGAAGAGTGTGTGTGCCAAACTTCTCAAGCATAAAGTAGTAGAAGTAATAGTTTTATTTACATTGATTACCTGGCATTAAAGAAATTAAATAATTATAAAAAAAAAAGTGATACATAATAATAATTATAGGGTACAATGTTAAAATGTTTGCTGCCAGATAGTTGCCTTTGTACGGTCAGTAATTGGAATTAGAGATGGTGCAAAGGCACCCCCATGATTGGAGAGAAGAGAGAGCCTGTGCTAAGTTCCTGTGGCACGTCAATAAGTGAAAAAACATAACATCTTAATAATAATGAAATTTATAACAAAGCAAATACTGACTTATCTTTACAGAAGCAACAAATGCATGTGCATTTCGATTGTAAAATTGATTGAAAATTCAAAATCAGTTAAATACATATATAAGTCTGCCTGATGTTTCAATATTTAAAGAAAAGGTGTCTTTAACAGTTAATTTGTGTTACTGCCATTTTTGTTTACCAATTTCACATATTTATCAGAGTTTGGAAAAGCATTCTATCTTTAATAAAATAACATATTTGACAAGTTACATTTCCTGTTTTAAAATTATTCCCATTAATAAAGCAACCTGTTAAAGAAAAAAAAGTTTAGAAACAGTTGTTTCTAAAATGGTACTATTTTTTTAATATCTTCCATACACAAGACCTTAATTCCTACAGTGTAGTATATCTCTTTGGAAAACTAAGATGAAAAAGAATGTTAAAAAGAACTACAAGATTTATATTTACATGATTATGTTTTACATTTATCCAATTACTTATGTAAAACTCCTTTCAGTGTTCTGTAATTGGATATGTTTGGAAAAAATGTTAATTTTAGGGTTTCAGTCTTCATTTTTGAAAATATCTTATTATCATTAATGTTCATAAGTTCAGGAATGTATCTCAATTATTTTAAATTAAATTTTATTATTAAATGAAGTTTTAGTAACAGATTTAGTGTGTTATTTATTGTAATGGGACTAGAAGTTAAGATATTTCTCTATATCTGATGAATACACGTGACATTCAGGAGTTGAAATTAGAAGTACAAAGCAATTTTACTTTGTTCAGAGATAATTGCCATGTTGTGAGCATTATACTTGTAGTTAAGTTTACTTTGACTTTTAACTTTTTACTGTAATTGTTACTAAACACTAAAATTTAACTTTGTAAATAATGTTTAACTCAAACATCAAAATCAATGTCCATGATTGTATGTTACTTGAAAAAAAAAATTTAATTTTAATATGAATTAAATTCTTTACACTATTTTGGGATATTAATTTATGCTTGTTTTAATTTTTTTTTAGGAATATCACCTTTTTCAGGATAGTGACATCCTTGGAAAATGGGAAAGCTGAAATAATCTAGGTATAAACAACTTGGAACAGAAATCATGGTCATAATCATCGGTCTTTTTTGTTTCTTTTTTTTTATAATTACCATCACACTTGTGGATCCAACTACTCATTTAGCTGCTTATTATTTAGAACATATAATTAGTATTGAAACTTGAATAGAAAGGAATAAAGTTTAGTCCAGATTTCATGTTACTTTGTGAGGTTTAATTAAATGTACTTTTACAATTAACAGTTTTCAAACTTGATATTTTGTAGTTACTATCATACATGACACTTCCAGAATAGTTATTTGAAACCTGAAATGATTACCAGTTTTAATATGAACTGAGAAAGGTACAAACATGTATAAAGCTTTCTTGTTTAAAGCAACTATAGTTGATAAACTAATTCTGTTCACTAAAACTAGTTGTTTTTAAAATTTTTGGTCAGGACATTGAGACAATGGATTAAGCTATTTTGATATACCCAAGTCACATAGTTGGCATTAGATATGTTAGAAAAATACAAATCCAAGTGCAATTGGTCCCTGAAAAATAGATGAGTAAAGAAACCATTAGCATGATTTCTATTTATCAGTAAAATTTTGTCACATCACTTATATTAGTAACCTTTAACTTATGAGCTTGTACTATAAAAGTTATAATGGTAGAAGTGTATAAATACAGTTAATACTGCTATTGTAGGTTAAACTACACATCGTATAGCTTTCTCCAGAGAAATTTACCTCTTTAGTATATACATCTGGTGAATTTTTACGATTAGAAATCTTAAACTTCCTTTTAAAAATTTGATACATTGGCCAAACATGCAATTATAAATTTCCTGCATGACTAGTATAAAATTATGAATTAGAAATGGAGTTAAATTTATATACAGCAACTGAAACATTAATCTGTTTAAAAAAGAATGAGTACTAGAGCACAGCAGATTGTGTAGCATCTATATTTTCTACAATATCTATGGAGATCATTTTCAATAATCATGCGAAGTGAATTTAGAAGATATTTAATTTCTGAAATTAATTTTCACGCACTTCTTCAATAACTACTACACCACTAAATTTACAATTTTATTTCACCCAAAATATGTACAGTTTTAAAATGTTTCAGAATAAAACATATACAATTGCTTTATCTAATCAGAGATGCTATATCCCAGATTTTTGATACATAACTGCACAGGACCATACATGATTTTTTAAACGTATAAATATATTAAAACAATTACCATTGAAAGACTTTTGCAAACTTAAATGTAATGAGAGACGCTTCAGAGCTGACTGTTATTTACACCCACACCAGCAAGGTTGATTACACCTATTCATGCAACACTCCATAAGTAAAATTTGAAAGCATCCTTTGTTTGCACCAGACATCTTTAAAACCAGTATATATATATATATATATATATATATATATTACTGGAGTAGTGAAAGACTAAAAAAAAGTTGTTTTTTTCACCTGGGGAAATTAAAATACATTAATTAATATTTGAACACTTTATTTTTAACAACACAATGAACACTGTATACATTTATAAATAAAAATAACAAGATTCAACAAAAAAGTTTATAATAATTTATAGAGGCTGTGTAAACAAATAAATAGACAAACTTATTAATGGGAAAATAAAGCAAGCTAAATTAATATATCGAGTATCTAACACACACAGTTGTATTGGACCACAAAGTTTTGGAAATACTGAATATTTAGTATTATATTCTGAGAAATGATTGCTATTCATGAAACATAACATGTTTAAGAAGTAGAAGATTTACATCAAAACAAATTTCCAGCTTTATCTATATTACATGAACAATTATACATCGTACTAGTGGGGGAAATTGTTCATTTTTTATGCATCAATTCATATAATCACATTATGCTTATGTTTTATGAAAGAGCATTAATATTTATAGCCTGTTTGACTAGTAAGCGTTTCTTAGTAAAATAAATATTTAAGTTTGCAACAATATTTAATAAACAACTACATAACTTTAGATTTTACAAAATATCAATTAATTTGAAGCAGATAAATTGCTTAAAATGTCGTAAAACAATATCTGTAACATCTTTTATTGAAAGACACCACAAGTAATGACTGTGTAATATTTCTAATATCACAACATTCATTCAATAAATACTGACATCACTATATTGCTCATTTAATACTCTAAATAGTTTGCTAAAATCCACTTGTTTCTTTAAACAGACACAGTTTTTCAAAGAAAATATCTAAGGTTTATCAAAACATTAAACAATATACACTGAAAATAAAGTGATCCTAAAAAACCTAACTTTTTATTGGAAATTAAATAAAATATATTGTTTTTTGTGATAAAAATGTAACTATTATCCTGAGAGCTTAGAAAAAATATTTAAAAACGTTAATTTTAGTTTTAATGATCATAAGTCTGAGTTAAAAACCCTGAAAACAATCAATACAGTATTTAGGTTAACCAACTGGATATTTGTAGAATTATAAACGGACTTTTCTCCACATTAAAATACTTTTATTGTGAGCTTTTGGCCGTCTTTCTGCATTGTTGCCCGATGAAGGCTCCAGTAAAATGGCCAAAAGCTCGCAATAAAAGTATTTTAATGTAAAGAAAAGTCCATTTATAATTCTACATATTAATTTACCTACATTATTAGTCTTAAACAACAATTATCAACTGTACATATCTTGATTTTTCATTGGCTGACTGGAAAGACTTATTGAAACTTATCAGCTTTAATAATCCTGAAAGTTTAAGCACCAACAAGCTTCATCAATCCATTTGTTGTCATGGATTTTTGTCGTTCAATGGGCAGACCAAGAGCACTGGGTACACTGCTGACAAAGTAGTACCCAAGACACGAAAAACACCAAACAAAACTGTGTACTACTGCACTTCTGTCATACCATAATGCTGAAAAGAGAAATGTTTTTTTTTGTTTTTGCAGATTTAATTTGTATATACACATTTGTATTCTTACATAGCAAGAGAGTTTAAGGTTATCTAGCTGTAAAGCTGAATTTAGAACCTTGTGGTTGTATAGTTTAAATATGAAACATGAATCTATTTCACACACTTGGACATATAAAGTTGATATAGATAATGTTATCTGTTGTCTACGTCAATATGCCAATGAGAGCTGTTATGGCCCAAAAAACTAGTATTTCATCAGATGATAGTATGAGATTTGTTATGCAACAGGAAAATACATTTTATATCAGAAATTCAGGGATGGGTATGACAGAGGCAGCTTCCTTCCTCAAGTTTGGGAGGGAGGGGGGTCCAAATGGTAGTTTTTGTAAAACATTTGTAATCATGCCAGATTAAAAGACATAGGACATATTAAACAATACTGTTACGTCTCCGTTTGTTAATTAATTTTCCATAAATTCGTTCCGACCAAACTTTAGCGACACAAGTCCTTTCTTAAATAAAACTGGTTTATTATTTCCGAATACAACTTTACGATACACTTAATTTCAACAGTCGCTCCATAACGACGCTATAACTCACGTCTCACGTGGCCAACAATATTTTATCCGCATACATTCAATTACTCATTACCTTTCCGTCACTTCGTGGCCGGTCTTGTATATACAAGACTACACTATATCTAGAAAGATCACGAGATTTAAGGAAAAGACGTGAAAGTTCGAGAATGACGTGGCGTGATACTAGTCACGTGACCTCGATGTCGTAACAGTGCTCCTTCCTTAGTATTGTTTGTCCCGAACAATAGCCACTTACGTTAAACCAATAACAATTAACAATAATTTAATTAAATGTACAGAAT